AACTGGGGAAAAACAGACTAGCCCCATCTGCAGAACCCTGGATGTTGGGGCCAAGCTATACTCCAACCTGCAGGTCATACTACCCCCCCCCTCCCCAAAAGGCCCTACAATGGACTTCCAGCTACTGGGCCCACACCCTGTTGTCTCCTGACTCACCTAGCTTGTAGGTGAGCACGAAGCTTGCTGTCCACAGAGTCCCTGGTACGGTAACCATATCCTGCAGAAGACGCAGGGTGTAACAGGGATGCTCTGAGGGCCCAGGCCCCGGGAGCTGGCCCAGGGCCGGTGCAGTCCAGGCCAAGGCCGCAGCCAGCCAGTAGGCGGTAGCTAGGAGCAGAAAAAGCCCTGGCCACGAGAGGGTGGGCAGAAGAGCCAGCAGCCCTCCCCCTGCCAGTGCTGCCCCCAGCTTATAAGCCACGACCTGTGCGGTGCTGCCAGGTCCCAGCTCGGCGGGTTCTAGCAGCTGCATGGCCAGCGTGTCCAGAGCCACGTCCTGCACAGCCGCACCGAGGTTAAGCAATAACAGCAGCCCCACCGCAGCGGCGGGCAACCCGGCCTGGCCGCTTTCAGAAGGAGGAAGTGCGGCCAATAGCCCGCACACCAGACCTAGGGCTGCCGTGCTGCGCGCCAGCCAGGCCCGCGCGGAACCCCGCGCTCCCACGAGTGGGGCCCACGCCAGCTTGAACAGCCATGGGGCATACAGCGCCTTGGCCAGTCCCACCCGCGTCAGGGAGAGCCCGCGTGCCCGCAGGAGCGTGGGCAGCAGTCCGGACTGGAGCCCATAGGGCAGGCCCTGCACCAGGTACAGGCTGGCCAGAGGCAGCAGCTTCCCGCGCATGCCGGCTCCGAGGCCCCGAGATCTGCTCCGGGCGGCGTCGGATGGGGTAAGGTCCCAACAGCATGAGGTCAGAAGTCACACTCCGGCATGGCTTAGGGACAGAGCTGGGTGGGACTGAGCTTGGGTGTAGACACCCAAGAACAGAAGCCGGGTCCAAAGCAGGAGACGAACGATTTGCCCCCCAGGCAGTAGCCGTTCCACATCCGGCCTCCCACAACTCCCAGCAAGCTCTGGGCGGCTGCGGGTAATAGCTAGGGGGCGGAGCCTCTGGGGAGGGGTGGGGTCTGCAGGGAGGGCCCCTCCGCAGTTCCTGGCGGGCCTCAGGATCCTCCGGAGCCATTGAGTGGAGCACTGGCAGGACGCTGCGCAGACGTGGTGTCAGTGGTGCCTCACGGCCAAGGCTGGAAGGTCGCGTGGACCTCAGAAACCTGGAGAGAGCCAGAGTCGGCTGTCGGGTGCCCCTGGTGGGTCAGCCTAGGAACAAGCACCCTGTCCGCCCATCCCCTCCTCCCTGCCACCAACACCTGCACCCATCGAAGTACTTAGCAGATGTGAGGGGCTGAGAGCCGGAAGCTCCAGAGGTGGGGCCAGCTGTACCCGCGGCCCTATCCTCTCAGTTGTCACTAGTCCTAGTCCCTCCCAGGGTCCTCAGATGCACTCCAGAAGTGCCTCCTGCTCTCTGCCCTACAGCCTGGTTGCTGCAGTGCCCAGCCCTCGTTTCTCCAGCAGCCCTTATGGAGGAGTTAGCCTTTTAATGGTTCCCCTGTCTACTCACTACTGGATACTTTTGCTCCCTCCTTGCTGTGCTGAAGCTTTTGTCCCCTCCCAAGGTAGTGCCCACAGGACAGCCATAGAAGGAGGGGGTTTGTGTGAAGTCCAGGCCCAGGCTCAGCCAGGACACAGCCAACCACTGTCCAGTGTCTGGTGACAAGGGTAGGATTCCTTTGCCTAGCTAGAATTGGCCCTGCCAAGAGAAGGGCCCATGTGTGGCCTTTCCTGCTCAGAGCTGTGCCCTCAGGGTCTCCCAAGGACTAGATGAGGCTGTGAAATGTGGTCTCTGTTAAGAACCATCTCCATGGCTTGGTGCCTGTAGTACAGTGGTTACAATGCAGCCACATACTCTGAGGGTGGTGGGTTCAAACCCGGCTTGGGCCAGCTAAACAACGACAACCGTAAGAACAACAAAAAAACAGCCGGAGGTTGTGGCAGGCACCTGTAGTCCTACCTACATGGGAGGCTGAGGCAAGAGAATCACTTAAGCCCAAGAGTTGGAAGTTGCTGTGAGCTGTGATGCCATGGCACTCTACCAAGGGTGACAAAGAGATGCTGTCTCATTTTTTTTTTTGAGACAGAGCCTCAAGCTGTCGCCCTGGGCACAGTGCTGTGGGATCACAGCTCACAGCAACCTCCAATTCCTGGGCTCATGCAAGTCTCCTACCTCTGCCTCCCAAGTAGCTGGGACTAT